CGTATAACACAATTAAGATACAATAACACTTTTAATAAGAAAAACGAACCAAACATTACAAATTCATACCACATTAATTAAACTTCATTCAACTCAACTCAAAATGCTATTATTTAAAAGAAAGGAGTTACATGTTCTCCAAGAGGACTAAAATAAACCGACAAATATTAGGATAAGAGGTGTAGTTTATACTATTATTATATATATATGATTTCTATATAAAATTCAATTTTTATTATTTTCAGTAATAAAAAACAATGTTTTTGGAGAAATAATTTGATTTTCTTTTTCTCTTAGTTGTAGTATAACACCTTAAAAATTAAAGTAATTTTAAACAGTGAGTAGTATTTAGAATGGGTTATGTGAAAAGCATGTATATATGCGTAGTTATGAGGAACGTTGGGGAGTGCAGCATTGGAGAATTGTTTATCCTTTTCAGAGCCGAAACAATTGGAATGTGATTCCTGCTTCATTTTGTTTATTAAAAGGATAAACAAATGATGAGCATTTAAAAGGACATTTCAATGTTGCAAAGCCAAATGTGCTTAGGCCATGCTCCTCCGAATTTGGTACCCAGCCATCTCCATCTATCAATTTTTAGGATCACCCTTCCCTTTTTGGCTCCTCAAGGTCACATACCACAATCATTAATTACAGTTCATAAACAAAACAAAAATCTCACACATTCATTCATGCATCACCAACAACCTAACCCTAGCACACGTAACATCACAACTTAATAAAACACAAAAGCAACTTAAAGGTTCTCTCTTTAATGGACGAAAAAACAAAAAACACGAAGGAGTCTGTGCTTGGTTAGTGGTGCTTGCCAGTTGCATGGAAATATCTTGAAGTAGCATCTGGGTATCGATCACCATTTTTTTTTTCTGGTTAAAATTGAAAAGAATTTAAAAAAAAAAAAATGTAGAGGGTATACTATAGCGTTGAACGTAGTAGATAAGCTTTTGTAGGTTGAGTGGCTTAGCTTTATAGTTTTTATAGGCAGACAAAGGGCATCTACTTACCATCTTTGCGTTCCTCAGTTCGTGGCAAAGGATACTACTTGCCTTTCAATTCTTCTATCTATTCGTTCATTCATTCATATATATACTTTCTTTATGCTATTTCGTATTTCATATATACATCGTATATATTATTCTTTTTTCTCTCTCTCTCTCTAAATATACTCTTTGAAAATCATCAACATCATCACCTTTTAGTTGTATATATTTGTATAGAGAAACCCTAATATGAGTATTTTATACGAATAATACAAAAAGTAGAGTGATGGGAGGGAGAGAAAGAAGTGAGGATTGTATCCAAAAAGGGTCCCTCAAAATCAAGAAGTGACGCGCGTTCATTTGTTTCCACATACAATATTCCTTGTGATTAAACTATTCTGTAATATTTATTTATTGTTATGTGTGTGTGTGCGTGTGCATGTAAGTGTTGTGGGATTGTAGCAGCCAATCATGTTTTCCTTCTACAAAGGTGATTCCTTTGCTTCCTTCTTAAGCCAATTTCGACCACTTTCTGTCTTACCTAATTGGTTGTATTAGTAATGTGCATGAAACTGTGTTTTTCTCCATTCAGTAATGTTATGGTGCTAATTAATTACCTCACTTTTCTTGTCATCCTCTTATTGGCATTTCCCCTACCAATATCACTTTTATGTTCCTTCCCAATTTCTTTACAAAAATAATACTTTTTCTTTTCTGGGAGAGGAGGATCCGTTTCTTTCACTCTCAAAATTCTATGTAATTTGTTTCCATATACATTTTACAACTTTTTGCAATCCACAGAATTTATATAATTAACTTATTTGGTTTTTTTTATCAAAAAAATAAATATAATTAAACAAGACAATTGGTTATCTCAACTCATATAAAAAATAGTTAAAAATAAAGTAAAAACTCTATTAATACAGAATCTTTAAAATTCAAATAACAAAAAAAAATTAATTAAGTAAAAATACATTTCCCCAAAAAAAAAGTATAGAATTTTTCAAGAAAAATTACTTGGTTTGTTTACGAAGTATAGTTTGAAATTTTTGTAAGGGTTTCTAAAACTAAGAAAAAAAATTGACCCTTCACCATGTAAAAATTCTTAATCTAAAGCCCCCATAAATTATCAATCATTAGCCATTTAAAAGCAACTATAAAGTTGATTTAGTGATAACATTTTGAAGAGAGGGTGGAAGAAATTGTGTTGAACTTTTCATACCAACTTTTAAAAGATATAAAATTGATATTTGAAAAGTTAGAAAAGAAAAGTGAAAGAGGTTGTAAGTTCAACTCTTACCACTAACAAAATATTACTAACTAACATAATTAATACACGTTAATAAATTTCACTTAAAATGCTTTTAAGATATTTTCATTCTCAAAGTAAACATCTTAATTAGTGAAAGGTAATTGCATGAACCAGATGAACTAATACACAACATAATAAATGTATAATTTATAACATCCAAATTTGGTGTGGTGAATTCTACCATATTTCAATTTAAAATATTAAAATAATAAATTTATGAATTTTATTATTATATAATTTTATTTATTTTTATTTTTATTTAATATAAAACTTAAACTCAAACTTGCAAAATAGTTGCAAAATTAAATGTTATGTATGACACTGTCTTATGTTGCTATTACCTCAATTTCCACACATCAGATTTCAAATTGGGTATAATTCAACTTGCAATGACTATGTAACCATATTAGCATGGTTTGGCAGGTACATATATGCTTCATAGTATCAATAACTTCTGAAATATGACTAAATTTTAGCATATATGTTTTTTTTTTTTTGGAAATATCACTGTTGATAAGACAGAGAATTTAAAACTAATAATGCTTTTATTTTAGGATAACGATAGTTTGACAACATTTTTTTACAATATTTTAACATCATCTACTTGTTATTATGTGATTAGTCCATGTTAGTGTTTATGATTATTATTATTGATAGTAAAATAATTTTAGACCAATAACAAAATGACACGTAAATAATATTAAAATATTATAAAAAAATGTTGTCAAACTATCATTATCTTTTATTTTATTTTATGTATTTTTCTTAATTTTTCTTTTGAAAGTGTGTCATTTAATCCTAATGTTTTAAAGCTATCCATACGAAATTACAGAACCATAAAGCTGAATTTTCATACGATAAAAATCAAGTTAAACAAAAAGAGGCACCACAAAAATCACTTGATTTACTTCTGAGCCAACAATTTAAATTATTATGGTTGTTGGTGGATCTCTTTGTAAAAAATTTTCTAATTTTATTAAAATAGAAATAAATTTATAAATTTATTTTTTATATTAATATTATAAATGTTACATATATTAAATTATTAGATATTTTATATAAATATTTCATTTTTAATTTTTATCTTTAATTAATTTATTATTATTTTTTATTTGTATTATGAATTTAGTTCATGTTTGTTTTATTATATATGTTTTATTGAATATTCAATTCAAGGAAATTAATTTATATATAACTTTTACTATATTAAATAGAAGGTAAGAACGGTGATGTGATTATGCATATTCATTTTGACTGCTCATCATCGTCGTCCATTTTCATTTGTTCACCGATGTAATTAAATTCAGAAAACGAGTAAACGGCACATAACATATATTGCGTGACAGATCACAGTGTATTTAATATCCAATCACGGATCCTGTTTCTCTTCTCAAAATAATTTCTATTTTTGTTAAAATTTACTGTATTTTTATTTTTGTTTTTCTATTTTCATCACTTTTCTATTGTAATAATTTATTTTTTTAATTATATAATTTATTTTTTTAATTATATAATTTATTTTTAAAATATTAAAATTTATTTAATAATATTTGAATGGTTTATATATTTAATTATAAAATTGATATTTTAATTACACTGAACTAAATACATAAAATGAAATTGGAGAAAAAATTTACTTAATTGAGTTAACTTATTCATGTGTAGTTGATCTATTTAGATTATAATTTTTTTTACTTTTTTAAAATTAAATCGAATCAAATTATATTTATTTAATTTAACAATTTATTTCTTATATATATTTTAGTTTTTATAATTTTTTATTTAATTAAGTTTTAATATATTTTAAATAGAGTTAATTTAACTTCTTACATGCTAATATTATTTGAAATCTGTCGTGTGTCAAAATGTAAATTCTCATTTATTTTGATAATGTTTTTGTTTAATACGTGATATTCTCTAAAGAGTTTGATATGTAACATCTTCAAGATTTGGACGCGACATCTTCAAAATGACATGTTAATGTTTAATTAATTAATAAATCAAATTGAATAGATGAAAATTATTAAAATTTAATGAAATAAAAAGAAATATAAAAATTAATATAAATTTAAATATAAAAAGTAAATTACTAATTAAATATTTTTATTGAAAACAAATGGATGAAATTATGAGTTTCACGTCTTTTTCCTATTATCAAGTGCAGAGTATTGATAAATTTTGACAACACGCATGAATTTATATCTTGAAATTATCTATAATAAATAGGCACATCAACATTTTACAGAATCCCTCAGAAACCTGTGTCCATAATAAAATGGGAAAAGAGAAAGAAAAATAAAATAGAAATTGATAAAGGAGTGTTTTCCTGGTGCGTAAGTAGGGCCCACTGAACACGGTTCCTAGAGCTTTTGGCCCTTTAAATACCCTCATTCTCCCCTTCCACCATTCCCATCATCAACCACAAACCAAACCAACACTCACCCTCTCTTTCACGTTCTTGCCTTCAATCTTCTTTCAAGGTATATTTTCTTAATTCAATTCCTTTCACTTCACTCTTTTACAAAATCTCCATACAATTTTTTTAACTCATTTTTTCTTCTCTTTTCTTGTCAGAATTAAGATAAAACTTCATTTCTGAAAACAAAAAATAACACTAAAATCACTTACATAAATGTATCTAAGTTTTCTGCATGTATTTTCCCTGCCCTTCATTAATATTGTGCGTTTTCCAAAACCTCATGCATGTTACCTATCTGACTCCAATTTGAAACTTGAAAACTTGTTTTTAAACACTCCTCACTACTTTATAGTTTTTATCATGTACACTTCTAGGGAGTGTTTATGATGTTGTTAATTGTTATTTGGCGTCTTGTTCTAAATTCTTGTGACCTTTCTGTGCAGCTAGCTAAGTAAGAAGCACTTTTATTGGACATGTCAGCATCTTCTGTTGCCATCACCAACAACAACGTCAACAACAAGCTTCAAGGCCAAAGTCTATTCCTTTCTTCTTCTTCTTCTTCTTCTTCTTCTTCTTCCTCTGTGAAGAGAGAAGAAGAGACCATGATGCAGAATCAAGGCATCATCACCATTTTCGACTCAAACACAAACACAATTTCTCCTGCTTCTTCTATGCCAAGAGCTCTCTCGGCAGACATGTCCTCAGAGAACTTCCTCTCTCAAACCATTGCTCTTTCCGAAGAATTCGTGCATGCCAAAACCATTGACGACTCGGAAGATGAAGAGAGCAATGACAAGGAGCTTGACGATGAAGCTGAAAGAGAGAGGCTCGAGATTTGGAGTTCCATCCAACGGAACAAGAAGGAGGAGCAAGAGAAATCAGGGTCATTTGATACGTGGAGCTCAATCATATCCCTGAAAGGAAAAGATGAAATCTCGAAATCTCTTCCTGCGTCACTTTATGTTCATCCTCTTGTGAAAAGGACCAAGAGTTGTTTGAGTGAGAAGAGCCTCCAAATCTGCACAGAGAGTCTCGGATCCGAGACTGGCTCTGATGGGTTGTTGTCCTCTTCTTATTCTTCTACTGAGACAGGGGATGCAGAGGAACAAGAGAAAGTTGCAGAACCAACACACCAAGAAGAAGAAGAGTTGAGCAATTATGCATCAGTAGTGGTGGCTACAAAGAAGGCTTCGTCACCAACACGTGCTTTCCCTCCGCCACTCCCTTCACTCTCTCATCAACAAGCCGGTCCTTCACTTCACATGCGTTCACGCCGTGACAACGGAAGGTTGGTTCTAGAAGCTGTTTCGGTCCCTTCTCACAACAATTTCAGCATTCAGCGCCAAGGTGGTCGCCTCGTCCTCTCTTTCTCCAACCACCAAGAAGAGGATGAGGAGGAGGAGGAAGAAGAAGAGAATGATGATTGTGTGGAGCAAGAATACTCAGGAGGGTTGGAGTTTGAGGAAGATGAGGCAGACGCGGAAGAAGAATACGCTTTTGGGACGAAAGGACACTTATTGTCTAGTGGGGTGACAAGTAATGTTCAAGGGTTGGCTTTGATGACGAATAATAAGAAAAAGACAATCGGGGTATTGAACAGGAGTCCAAAGTGGACGGAGAAGTTCAATGAGATGACCAGTTTTAATGATGCTAATGTGGCACAATCGCTGCCCCCGAGGCCAAGGGTGGCAAGGTTGATTCCATCAGCACCAGCGGTGGCTGCAGCTGCAGCTTCTTTCAATTTCAATGCTTATGAGTACTATTGGAGGTCCAACTCTGCTCCATCAAAAGGTACGAGTGTTAAACTTAACCCACTTGACCAAAACAAAAAACATCATCAGAACCATCAAGAGAACATGAAGAGCAAGGTTGTTGTCTCCAGGGACATGAACAAGATGGTCCCAAGGGAGCAACAACAGGTGTTGGTTCTAAGAGGGAAGAATGGTGATTACTTGGTTCACAATCTGAAGAGTTGCAAGGATTCTAGAAGGTCGTTTCTGTTCTGGGAACCCTATTGCATTGCCACCTCTTGAGTCAGTGACAAACAACTAATCCAAAATCCATTGCTCAAAACGCTAATTATTGCTTCATCATCCTTTTATCTCTACCTGGTTCCAGTCTTTGAGGGAGTTGTTTAGTGCAATCAAATAAAGGAAAAGGGAGCGGAAGAAAAGGACAGTGAGAGAGAGAGAGGAGAAAATACTTTATTTGTGTTGTAAGACGAGAGAGATGACTTGAACAGTGTTGTCATATATAATACTATTTATCTGTCTGTATTTGCTATTGGCTAATGGTTTAATACGTACACAACGTAATCTTAGCTCATCTTTGACTTGGACGATTGTCTTGTCTTGCTCTAAGATTATCATCACTTCTTAGCTTTTCAGCTTTCTTACTTTTCTAATCCTAACCAATGGGGTTTCAGAATCAGTCCTGTCCTGCCTAATTGGTCTTATTTTTTGGGAACACCATGATCATTCCCTGATATGCCTTTCCCTTCCGAGCTGTTAAACTAACAAAGTGACAGCTATATGTACGTAACCAACTAAATTAAAATCATATTTTTCTTTATTGTACTAAACTTTTTTTAGAAATGTCCATAATTACAATTTCGTGAGAGGTAAATTTGAAGAACAATGAAACATAGGAAAAACCTTAGTTATATCTATGATTTTGTTAATAGAGACTAATCTATACTGCAGTTAATGGTTGTACGTGCATCCACCGATTCATGCTTTTGGTTTTGCGTTCCTTGGTTTTGAGAGAAATAAAGTTGTGAAAAGAGCCTAGCACTATAAAAGGAAAATGTAGCTATATGTGTCATGCTACATCAGCACTGCATTTTTGAATAATATTATTAAACATGTGAGACAACTATGGAAAGGAAGATGACAGCATCATCAACTTCATCTGATACATATATATTTTAGCTGTCAATTTTCTGTTGGTGGAGATGACGACTTACCAATAGAAAACAGAAATGCACAAACTTAGGAATAAAAAATTAACATCAAGTGTGATTTTACTTCCAATATGTTGCTAATGGTAAACCATGGATTGCATGCTACTCATTTTGTTTTTCTGTAGTAACCTAAATTTCCTAAGGTTATCTCTTTATTCTCTTGGGCTACAAGAAAGAAAACCTTTCCTTTGTTTACTTGTATTATTATACATCTACTTGTCATATTATACATCCACGTCTTTAAAAAATTGTCATATTCATTACATTGAAATTGATAATTTAAAATAGATAGGGTAAGATAAGTTTTATTTACGAAGAAATGACATCATTTATGGGTTGTTCTAATTTAGTTATATGTGTTGGTATTTTTAGAAAAAATTTAAGTGAATATGGGAATGACTTATCGTTTTAAGAATGGAAACTTTTGTTTATATTAGGTTTATGAAATCGTTTATGTTTTGGAAGAATAGCTTTTACAAGTTTTTATTAGAAAGTGATTTTAGTTTAGTTTGTCATGATTTATTGTATAAATGAGTAACTTCTTCAAGTTTTAAAAAGAGATGACATCGATGCTTACATTTTTTAAGCATATACACTTTAAAAATTTACATGTTTTTATGAAAGAAATCATTACATCAATAAGTTAAATAATTTGGCTTTAGCTAAAATCTCTTTTCAGTCCTCTTATTTGTTTGAAAATTTTAATTACGTTCCTAATTTCTTTTTGGTTTAATTAAGTTATCTAATTTTTAAAAATATCCAATTTAGTCTTAATCAATGACAACTTTTAAATCGTTAACGATAGAGTGAGAATGGTTGCATAGATGATAGGTGTGTCCAGAACCTTTTTACAATTAAACACAACAAGTTACCCATGTGTCTTTATAGCTATCAAACCCTTCCAAAACAACAAATATAATCAAACTATTTGTTTGATAAAAAAACACCTAGATTCTAGTTTTTGGTCTAAGTCAGTGCAACAATAAAGAGTCAAAATGACACCATGTTATAGGTTTTATTCCAAACCACTATATTATACTAATACTCTGCCCAATGTATTATTCTTATCTCAGTAGGTTAGATTTATATTCCTTGCAATTTAATGCTTGCAAATATAGTAGATAACTCTCAAGCATTTGTTATATATTATACATCTTTTCACCCCTGCCTCTCACCAGCCCAACCACCTTAATTGTCTTATGTTGTGCTAGCCCATTTGTTAGCATTACCCTTTACTACTTTTCCAAAGGCCTTGCACTAATCTATTTTCCACACTAGATCTTAGCCAACCACATGTTTGTTTCCTCATTTTTCCAACTCCCATGTAGGTCATAGTGTTTTCAAGTAGTCAATAAGGCTTAATTTGTGTTGTTCGATTTTGAATATGTACTGTAAGTTTTTGATGTGTTGCTTCAAGCTTCAAATGAGTTGTCCAAGATTGATCTATGCTAATTTGGTATGTTGTCGTGTTTTTTTGGTATGTTATGCTATTTTAGTATGTTATCATGTTAGTTTTTGGTCAGTTATCGTGTTGTGTAGTTTTGTACCAGGTTGGGTTTGTTTTTTGTCGGGCTGAGTAGGTCTTGGTCGGGCTATGTTAGTGATTGTGTCAAGTTGGGTTGTTTCTGATTGAGCTATGTTGTTTGGACCGAGTTGTTTTAGACCTCGTATTAGAGGTTTTAGAACTTAGCTTGTATGCTTTGGAGGTCGACCACTTCAGTTCTATCAAACAATCTCCTACTATGACAATCAACTTCTTGTTTAAACAACTTAAACCTTTATCCATCAACCCTAACCCCCAAACCTAAGCAAACATAAATGGAATAAACACACATCTAACTTGAAATCCTCCCCTCATCTTTAATCACTTACTACACAATTCTTCAAGTAATGTTCTACTATATTTCACCTTCACAACAATGGACAATAGTCATGAAAAAGGAGTTCACTGTGTAAATGACTTTTTCCAATCCGTTAATAATCTATTCACACCTGCCAAATACTTTATTTTGCACGATTGTCGTAGATAGACCTACATATGAGAGTAAACAATTCAACATGTCAAACACAACTTTAACAAATAATATTTAATGAAATAAAAACATTATAGTTTCCCTTCAAACTTTTTTTCTCCATAATTTCCATTTAAACTTTTTTCTCCATAATTTCCACTGCAAGCAAGTCTCTACTTTTACTGCATCACCATAAAAGAAAATTCATAGTGCCACTAAATTCCAATATATATTACTATTGCCACCAATGTCTCATTTCAAATAATGTATTCCAAACATAACTACCAATATTATTGAAAAATAATACTATGGATGAGTAAAACGAACAGGACAACAAGTTTTTTTCCACTGTACAGAAACCTTGAATACTCCACCCAAGTTGTTGTCAAGTCCCACATAGTTTTTTCCTTTTGTTAAAAAAAATTAACTATTAGATCAACAAACCAAATAATCTTATACTACAAAATACACAAACATCATCAAATAATTTCTTTTCAAAACGACGCCTTTTTCATATTTTAAAAAATAATTATGAAAGGAATAAACAAATGGAGATTTACTCTGCCCTTAGAGCACCCACTACAACAACCATAAGGGACGAACCATCAACCAATAATTTTCACAATGACTCACACAGTTGCCAACAAATCATCCACGACAGGAATCTTATTCAAGTCATCACAATAATTCGATTTATTGTACTTTTTCCCACGGCAACCACCATAGCGCGCAACAATCACCCATGAAACGACCCTACGTTGTTGCAGCATTTTCACGACTTTGCGCCTCTTCACAACCATTATTTGTAACCCTTACCGATTCGTATTTCCCTTTAAAGAACCCTAACACATGTTCTCCTTGCGTCAAACAATCACCCACAAAAGAACCCTAACACAATTGCCACAATATTTTCACGACTTCGCATTTCTTCATGGCCACCATCCATAACCCTTACCCACTTGTCTTTCTCTTTAAAGAACTCTAACCCACGCCTGTGCCAAAAATTTACCCACAAAACGAACCTTAACATAGTCGTAACAGTATATGTAACTTTTACCCACTCGCCTTACTCTTTAAACAACCTTAACCCACATTTTCCCTTTTAATGTACCAATATTAATCCCCTTCACCCTCCCACCATATCTTTCAAGGATATTTCGAAAACAAACAACATAAGTGAGAACATACTCATTGGACGCCTTCCATACAAGCAAAAACACTAAAATATAATTTAGATCAAGAAAATGAAAAATTTTAAAAGGAAAAATAAGTGAGAAAAAAATAGAAAATCAAAGAGACGAAGAGTAAATCCAGCTATAAAAAGTTTTAACAGCATAAAAAAGAATAAAAAAAAAGATAGGTGTAGAAATGTATATATACACATAAAAACCTGCTATAATAGCCCAAAATTCAAAATTCGAAACATGAATTGAACTTGAACCCTAAATCTATGCAACAGAGCCAAAATTAGTGAAAACAATAAACCCTAAATTTGGATTAAACCTGTAATGGAAAACTAAAAAGCATGAAAGGACAGAGGAAAAAAATTAANTTGGGACGAAAGGACACTTATTGTCTAGTGGGGTGACAAGTAATGTTCAAGGGTTGGCTTTGATGACGAATAATAAGAAAAAGACAATCGGGGTATTGAACAGGAGTCCAAAGTGGACGGAGAAGTTCAATGAGATGACCAGTTTTAATGATGCTAATGTGGCACAATCGCTGCCCCCGAGGCCAAGGGTGGCAAGGTTGATTCCATCAGCACCAGCGGTGGCTGCAGCTGCAGCTTCTTTCAATTTCAATGCTTATGAGTACTATTGGAGGTCCAACTCTGCTCCATCAAAAGGTACGAGTGTTAAACTTAACCCACTTGACCAAAACAAAAAACATCATCAGAACCATCAAGAGAACATGAAGAGCAAGGTTGTTGTCTCCAGGGACATGAACAAGATGGTCCCAAGGGAGCAACAACAGGTGTTGGTTCTAAGAGGGAAGAATGGTGATTACTTGGTTCACAATCTGAAGAGTTGCAAGGATTCTAGAAGGTCGTTTCTGTTCTGGGAACCCTATTGCATTGCCACCTCTTGAGTCAGTGACAAACAACTAATCCAAAATCCATTGCTCAAAACGCTAATTATTGCTTCATCATCCTTTTATCTCTACCTGGTTCCAGTCTTTGAGGGAGTTGTTTAGTGCAATCAAATAAAGGAAAAGGGAGCGGAAGAAAAGGACAGTGAGAGAGAGAGAGAGGAGAAAATACTTTATTTGTGTTGTAAGACGAGAGAGATGACTTGAACAGTGTTGTCATATATAATACTATTTATCTGTCTGTATTTGCTATTGGCTAATGGTTTAATACGTACACAACGTAATCTTAGCTCATCTTTGACTTGGACGATTGTCTTGTCTTGCTCTAAGATTATCATCACTTCTTAGCTTTTCAGCTTTCTTACTTTTCTAATCCTAACCAATGGGGTTTCAGAATCAGTCCTGTCCTGCCTAATTGGTCTTATTTTTTGGGAACACCATGATCATTCCCTGATATGCCTTTCCCTTCCGAGCTGTTAAACTAACAAAGTGACAGCTATATGTACGTAACCAACTAAATTAAAATCATATTTTTCTTTATTGTACTAAACTTTTTTTAGAAATGTCCATAATTACAATTTCGTGAGAGGTAAATTTGAAGAACAAAGAAACATAGGAAAAACCTTAGTTATATCTATGATTTTGTTAATAGAGACTAATCTATACTGCAGTTAATGGTTGTACGTGCATCCACCGATTCATGCTTTTGGTTTTGCGTTCCTTGGTTTTGAGAGAAATAAAGTTGTGAAAAGAGCCTAGCACTATAAAAGGAAAATGTAGCTATATGTGTCATGCTACATCAGCACTGCATTTTTGAATAATATTATTAAACATGTGAGACAACTATGGAAAGGAAGATGACAGCATCATCAACTTCATCTGATACATATATATTTTAGCTGTCAATTTTCTGTTGGTGGAGATGACGACTTACCAATAGAAAACAGAAATGCACAAACTTAGGAATAAAAAATTAACATCAAGTGTGATTTTACTTCCAATATGTTGCTAATGGTAAACCATGGATTGCATGCTACTCATTTTGTTTTTCTGTAGTAACCTAAATTTCCTAAGGTTATCTCTTTATTCTCTTGGGCTACAAGAAAGAAAACCTTTCCTTTGTTTACTTGTATTATTATACATCTACTTGTCATATTATACATCCACGTCTTTAAAAAATTGTCATATTCATTACATTGAAATTGATAATTTAAAATAGATAGGGTAAGATAAGTTTTATTTACGAAGAAATGACATCATTTATGGGTTGTTCTAATTTAGTTATATGTGTTGGTATTTTTAGAAAAAATTTAAGTGAATATGGGAATGACTTATCGTTTTAAGAATGGAAACTTTTGTTTATATTAGGTTTATGAAATCGTTTATGTTTTGGAAGAATAGCTTTTACAAGTTTTTATTAGAAAGTGATTTTAGTTTAGTTTGTCATGATTTATTGTATAAATGAGTAACTTCTTCAAGTTTTAAAAAGAGATGACATCGATGCTTACATTTTTTAAGCATATACACTTTAAAAATTTACATGTTTTTATGAAAGAAATCATTACATCAATAAGTTAAATAATTTGGCTTTAGCTAAAATCTCTTTTCAGTCCTCTTATTTGTTTGAAAATTTTAATTACGTTCCTAATTTCTTTTTGGTTTAATTAAGTTATCTAATTTTTAAAAATATCCAATTTAGTCTTAATCAATGACAACTTTTAAATCGTTAACGATAGAGTGAGAATGGTTGCATAGATGATAGGTGTGTCCAGAACCTTTTTACAATTAAACACAACAAGTTACCCATGTGTCTTTATAGCTATCAAACCCTTCCAAAACAACAAATATAATCAAACTATTTGTTTGATAAAAAAACACCTAGATTCTAGTTTTTGGTCTAAGTCAGTGCAACAATAAAGAGTCAAAATGACACCATGTTATAGGTTTTATTCCAAACCACTATATTATACTAATACTCTGCCCAATGTATTATTCTTATCTCAGTAGGTTAGATTTATATTCCTTGCAATTTAATGCTTGCAAATATAGTAGATAACTCTCAAGCATTTGTTATATATTATACATCTTTTCACCCCTGCCTCTCACCAGCCCAACCACCTTAATTGTCTTATGTTGTGCTAGCCCATTTGTTAGCATTACCCTTTACTACTTTTCCAAAGGCCTTGCACTAATCTATTTTCCACACTAGATCTTAGCCAACCACATGTTTGTTTCCTCATTTTTCCAACTCCCATGTAGGTCATAGTGTTTTCAAGTAGTCAATAAGGCTTAATTTGTGTTGTTCGATTTTGAATATGTACTGTAAGTTTTTGATGTGTTGCTTCAAGCTTCAAATGAGTTGTCCAAGATTGATCTATGCTAATTTGGTATGTTGTCGTGTTTTTTTGGTATGTTATGCTATTTTAGTATGTTATCATGTTAGTTTTTGGTCAGTTATCGTGTTGTGTAGTTTTGTACCAGGTTGGGTTTGTTTTTTGTCGGGCTGAGTAGGTCTTGGTCGGGCTATGTTAGTGATTGTGTCAAGTTGGGTTGTTTCTGATTGAGCTATGTTGTTTGGACCGAGTTGTTTTAGACCTCGTATTAGAGGTTTTAGAACTTAGCTTGTATGCTTTGGAGGTCGACCACTTCAGTTCTATCAAACAATCTCCTACTATGACAATCAACTTCTTGTTTAAACAACTTAAACCTTTATCCATCAACCCTAACCCCCAAACCTAAGCAAACATAAATGGAATAAACACACATCTAACTTGAAATCCTCCCCTCATCTTTAATCACTTACTACACAATTCTTCAAGTAATGTTCTACTATATTTCACCTTCACAACAATGGACAATAGTCATGAAAAAGGAGTTCACTGTGTAAATGACTTTTTCCAATCCGTTAATAATCTATTCACACCTGCCAAATACTTTATTTTGCACGATTGTCGTAGATAGACCTACATATGAGAGTAAACAATTCAACATGTCAAACACAACTTTAACAAATAATATTTAATGAAATAAAAACATTATAGTTTCCCTTCAAACTTTTTTTCTCCATAATTTCCATTTAAACTTTTTTCTCCATAATTTCCACTGCAAGCAAGACTCTACTTTTACTGCATCACCATAAAAGAAAATTCATAGTGCCACTAAATTCCAATATATATTACTATTGCCACCAATGTCTCATTTCAAATAATGTATTCCAAACATAACTACCAATATTATTGAAAAATAATACTATGGATGAGTAAAACGAACAGGACAACAAGTTTTTTTCCACTGTACAGAAACCTTGAATACTCCACCCAAGTTGTTGTCAAGTCCCACATAGTTTTTTCCTTTTGTTAAAAAAAATTAACTATTAGATCAACAAACCAAATAATCTTATACTACAAAATACACAAACATCATCAAATAATTTCTTTTCAAAACGACGCCTTTTTCATATTTTAAAAAATAATTATGAAAGGAATAAACAAATGGAGATTTACTCTGCCCTTAGAGCACCCACTACAACAACAATAAGGGACGAACCATCAACCAATAATTTTCACAATGACTCACACAGTTGCCAACAAATCATCCACGACAGGAATCTTATTCAAGTCATCACAATAATTCGATTTATTGTACTTTTTCCCACGGCAACCACCATAGCGCGCAACAATCACCCATGAAACGACCCTACGTTGTTGCAGCATTTTCACGACTTTGCGCCTCTTCACAACCATTATTTGTAACCCTTACCGATTCGTATTTCCCTTTAAAGAACCCTAACACATGTTCTCCTTGCGTCAAACAATCACCCACAAAAGAACCCTAACACAATTGCCACAATATTTTCACGACTTCGCATTTCTTCATGGCCACCATCCATAACCCTTACCCACTTGTCTTTCTCTTTAAAGAACTCTAACCCACGCCTGTGCCAAAAATTTACCCACAAAACGAACCTTAACATAGTCGTAACAGTATATGTAACTTTTACCCACTCGCCTTACTCTTTAAACAACCTTAACCCACATTTTCCCTTTTAATGTACCAATATTAATCCCCTTCACCCTCCCACCATATCTTTCAAGGATATTTCGAAAACAAACAACATAAGTGAGAACATACTCATTGGACGCCTTCCATACAAGCAAAAACACTAAAATATAATTTAGATCAAGAAAATGAAAAATTTTAAAAGGAAAAATAAGTGAGAAAAAAATAGAAAATCAANCAAACTTTTTTTCTCCATAATTTCCATTTAAACTTTTTTCTCCATAATTTCCACTGCAAGCAAGTCTCTACTTTTACTGCATCACCATAAAAGAAAATTCATAGTGCCACTAAATTCCAATATATATTACTATTGCCACCAATGTCTCATTTCAAATAATGTATTCCAAACATAACTACCAATATTATTGAAAAATAATACTATGGATGAGTAAAACGAACAGGACAACAAGTTTTTTTCCACTGTACAGAAACCTTGAATACTCCACCCAAGTTGTTGTCAAGTCCCACATAGTTTTTTCCTTTTGTTAAAAAAAATTAACTATTAGATCAACAAACCAAATAATCTTATACTACAAAATACACAAACATCATCAAATAATTTCTTTTCAAAACGACGCCTTTTTCATATTTTAAAAAATAATTATGAAAGGAATAAACAAATGGAGATTTACTCTGCCCTTAGAGCACCCACTACAACAACAATAAGGGACGAACCATCAACCAATAATTTTCACAATGACTCACACAGTTGCCAACAAATCATCCACGACAGGAATCTTATTCAAGTCATCACAATAATTCGATTTATTGTACTTTTTCCCACGGCAACCACCATAGCGCGCAACAATCACCCATGAAACGACCCTACGTTGTTGCAGCATTTTCACGACTTTGCGCCTCTTCACAACCATTATTTGTAACCCTTACCGATTCGTATTTCCCTTTAAAGAACCCTAACACATGTTCTCCTTGCGTCAAACAATCACCCACAAAAGAACCCTAACACAATTGCCACAATATTTTCACGACTTCGCATTTCTTCATGGCCACCATCCATAACCCTTACCCACTTGTCTTTCTCTTTAAAGAACTCTAACCCACGCCTGTGCCAAAAATTTACCCACAAAACGAACCTTAACATAGTCGTAACAGTATATGTAACTTTTACCCACTCGCCTTACTCTTTAAACAACCTTAACCCACATTTTCCCTTTTAATGTACCAATATTAATCCCCTTCACCCTCCCACCATATCTTTCAAGGATATTTCGAAAACAAACAACATAAGTGAGAACATACTCATTGGACGCCTTCCATACAAGCAAAAACACTAAAATATAATTTAGATCAAGAAAATGAAAAATTTTAAAAGGAAAAATAAGTGAGAAAAAAATAGAAAATCAAAGAGACGAAGAGTAAATCCAGCTATAAAAAGTTTTAACAGCATAAAAAAGAATAAAAAAAAAGATAGGTGTAGAAATGTATATATACACATAAAAACCTGCTATAATAGCCCAAAATTCAAAATTCGAAACATGAATTGAACTTGAACCCTAAATCTATGCAACAAAGCCAAAATTAGTGAAAACAATAAACCCTAAATTTGGATTAAACCTGTAATGGAAAACTAAAAAGCATGAAAGGACAGAGGAAAAAAATTAAAAACATTAGAATCCAATGTTTTTTTTATAGATGTGCAAAAAAAATGTTTCATTTTTTTTCTGTAAGCACACTTGTCAGTATCAAGCCTTAGGAGAAATGAGAAAAGAGAAGAGAGAGATTGAAGATTTTTTCACATTCGTGAAAGTATGAGGAAATGAGAGAAAGGTGAATTAGAAAAAAATGAAATTAGGGAGATTGTGTGTTAAGAAGAGAGAAGCTTATTTATTATGTTGCATAAATGTTTTTTTCTTACTCAGCAAAAGTATGATAAGTGTGGCATCATTTTATTACATTTACTCTTTTTTTATTTTGGACTCTAGGCACCTATTAGATGTGATTTAATTTTTTTTACATATGGTTGAGTTAGGTTGTTGCCATTTAACAAATTTCCTTTGAGGTAAAGATATGGGAAGTTTTTAATATATTTTTAGATTTAATATCTATTTTGGTCTCTCGTATTTGTTCAAAGTGATTTTATTTATTTTTTAATCAAAAACACATAGGAATCCCAAATCAATACAAAAAAATTGCAATACCAAACAAACACAGAAAATTCAAGAACGCATAGGAATCCCAAACATCCAATTACCAACCTGCAAATCCCAAATTTAAAAATTGAGAAAGCAAGAACCAAAAATCCCAAATTGCAAGATAATGAACATCAAAATCCAAAACGCGAGATCAACCCAAGAAAAGGAAAATCAATTCGCAAATAAAGAAAAGAACATCAAAATGCGAAATCAACCCTTATTCAAAACCGTAATCTAAAATCCCTAAAATTTGCAAGATCTGAAACACAATGAAGAAAGTGGATAGTTCATTCAGTTTTGGTTAGAGGGCAGCTATATCGATAGAGTTTTTAACACCACCAGTAAAAAGAACTAACTTGAACCATTTTTACACAATATGGAATAATTTTGAACTTTTTTTAAGACCACTTTAAATAAACGTTATGAATCAATTGACCAAAATAGGTATTCAGTCTATTTTTTTAATTTAAGTTTAGATGCTTTGAATGTGTCAAATATCATATTTTGTTAAGTTTATTTCTTGTTAAGTGTAGTATTATTTCTTCTTATTATTATTCTTGTACCACTTATTTCTTCTTCTTTTTCCTTGTACTTTTTTTTTATATTATTTTTTTTTACTTTTTTAACATATGGCAAATATCACTTCTTCATCTTCTTTTTGTACTTCTTTTTCTCATACTTCTTCTTTGAACATGTGACAAATATCAGTTCTTGTTGTACTATTACTAATGTTATTTCTTCTTCTTCTTGTACTTTTTCTTTTCGTACTTCTTCATGTTCTTATACTTCTGAGATTGTTCAATTCTTTCAAAAAAAAAATGGTTATTTTGTTTTATATTTTTTGCATCCATAATATATATCAATAAGAAACTTTTAAGTTCTTAAAAATTGAAAACTTCTATACCACATCGTTCTCTCATACTTCAAATTAAATTATCAAGAAAAATAATGGATTTCGCTACTTTATTCATATGTTTACAAACAAATGTGAACAAATATAAAAGTTAGAGAAAGATATTAACAACGATTAATCCTAACACTTAAAGAATTAAGAAATACAAATTTTGACTTGTAGAAATATAATTAGACGGAAAAAGACATAAAAATAGACTCCACCAACCATAAGGTTTGATAAGTATTTCAAAATCACAACAAAAAATAATAAATTCTTAGTAAAATAAAAATAGTTCAAGAAAAATCCTAAAAAAGAATTTCTCCTACTTCAAATAATAACTAAAACATTTTATCTATTCCTTCGCTCACAAAATTATTTATATGCTTTTTACAAAAAATAAAATAACAAATAAAATTTTAAATCTTTTATTCAAAGTCTAACAATTGAGTTTAGTTGCAAGCAAATAACACATAAATAACACATTCACATGTTAAGCCTCAAGCAAATAACACATATAAGTAACACTTTCATATATTAGACCTTATGATATAATTGTGTATTAACCACTTTCGTATAAATCTGTACATATAAATTACCTTCTTGAAAATTCCATTACTGTTCAGTATAGGCCCCTCAAGTATTTTCTTAGTTTCATTACTTTTACTTTTAATTAAACATTCTCAGTATTCTCCAAATGTGCTTTTCATAGATATTAACCAAAAAAATGTTCTCCGATCATTTCAAACTTCTTATTTTACCTCAAGATATCTATATTTTAATTTCCTAACTGTCTATCCCTTCTAATGTCCCTTTTTATCATCATCCTATCTTTGTAAGAAACATTGGTAGTCAAAAAGTATTTGTAAATCGAAAACATAAATTATATTTAAATATAATCTTCATTATGAATTTCAATTACAATGTACAAAAAAATATTTATTTTTAAAAAATAAAGTTAAAAAATAAAACTGATTTATTATTCTCAACCATAAAAAATACATTATAATATCCTCTATTTATAATAATATAATTCTCCTAAAATAAAAAATAGAAAAACTAAGAAAATAAAATAAAATAAAATATTATATATATTTTCTCTAATCTAATAAGAAAGATTTTAAAGATATTATTTCAAATTACAACAAATAAAATTTATCAACTTTATGTAATGTTTTTTTTTAAGTTTTTTATACAGATTAACATGTAAAAAATGAAATTCTTAGGCAGACTGATGCATCTCAATCCGCTTTTTTACCAGTTAAATACAAAACAGATGAAAACGGACCAAGTATATTCCTATTCAGAGTTGGAAAGTAAGAATGGGAATTAAAACATGCAATTTCTATCACTGCCGGGAACAGTGTATGCTATTTGAAGCACAAGGCAATATACAAAATTCTATTTTCAAAATTCACATTTCTGTCAGAATATGTGGGTTCACACAGAAGTTAGTTGTACAGAGCATGGATGGGAATTACACAAAGCAACACCTATGATACATGGACCCCCCAAGAAAGATTTCTGATTTATATATCTCACCATCACAGGGAAAAAGAAAAGAAACCCGTCCTCTTCATTTAAAATATAAATTCAAAAAACAATAACCTAGGGACGATGAGTAAAAAATATGTAAGAAAAATAATGACAAAAATAACCAGCACTGACAATCCATGATGCACACATCCATGACCTTGATTTTGTACCTACGGCTCAATTTACAACAGCTGGGTGGGAACCCAAACTGCAACTTCTAGCTTTGTCAAAGTCAACCAACCTAGCAGTGGCTACCAACTTTGCTTCTCGAGCTTGTATCTTGTAGATGCCAGATGATTGAGTAGTGAGAACCAAGACAAAGAAAAGCTTGGTCCTTCAAGCATTCTGCGGGTATCGATCACAAGCTCCAATACCCCGTAAATGGCATCATGCTATATATGTAACACCGGAAATTCAGGCGATAGCACAAGCGTCAAGGCATAAACATTACGGGTTTCCTTAATAATCATTATATCCAAGCAAGAGAACCTCGGTCATTTGTTACTTGAGGACGGCCTCTAGTTGGTGTTGGTGGTCTGTTGGCATTCAACTCCTATTTACGTTTTAACCAAAAAGAAATGTGTGAATAGCAAAGAGAAAACGCCAGAAATATAGATTTAGTCGCATAATACTAATTTTCAGATTAAAAGTCACTTAGATAGATATGAACGTAATCATTTAATAAGTGAAATATTATGCAGCACCAAGAGCGTGCTAAAAATTGAATGAACAATACCTGCATCCATGTGTCCTCAATGTGTCGCTCCGGTGAAGTTTCCGGTGAAGAAATTGCAGGTGGTAATGGATGAATCAATTTAGGAACCACAACAAGATCTCTTCCCAAAACTAAAATCGCCCCAGCATTATTTGCCGTACCTATTACCCAGCCAACAATACAGTGCCAAAATTTAGAACGGAGAATTATCTTTAGAGGAAAGTGCAATAGACAAAGGCCAGTAACAAATACCACAGTAGTTTGTCGCAGAAAAAAGTGTGATCAAATGTCCCTGAGCAAATCGCTCAAAGCCATCCATCACACATTCATGTGCCCGAACAATCAGCTGAAGATCATTGTTGTTGCAAAATTCCATGACCCGATCAGGCTGCAACAGTAAGACCCATTTAGATGAGCATAATATCACATATAGGAGTTTGGAGTTTAAACAATTAAGCCAACAGAAGCCTTAAAAAAAAAAATTTTAAAAAAAAAAGACTATCCAAGAAGGCAAGTGCCTAGATCTTAGGTGAACGAAACAAAAGATAGAATTAGAGAAGAACCGAAAATATTTTATCCCATCACACTGAAAACATGAGTACAGAAATGTATTTATAGGCATTGGTTACTGACAGTTGTACTAACTAACTCACTAATAAAACCTAAAGCAGTACAAAATGACTTACATATGATGACTATATAAGCTGTACAGACTAACTTGTTTCTACCAACACTAGAACAATAAAAATAATAGCCATCACAAAATGTATGCACTTCAAATTAGACGAAATATTGAGTGTAGCATTAACAATAACGTCAGAAAATGTTTGGGGCTAAGGTAACTCAAGTTGTAGCATTAACAATAACGTCAGAAAATGCTTGGGGCTAAGGTAACTCAAGTTGGAGAGCCGTATTATGGGTGACCTTATTGCACGGTTCAAAGAAAACTTGTGTATGTGATGTAAGTGAAAGTGTACGGAAAAACTGTATCTAGGGTGAGTTCTTCGTTCTTCATCTACCCTATCTATGATTCTACGATGGCTCAAGAACACTCATTCTTCAGCTGTTGAGAGACTCTTTATGGGAAGGGAATAAATGAGACTGGAGACATGCAGTATAGAAAAGCCAAACAACAGCACTAGTAAATGAATGAAATCAGATTTGTAGTTTTTGCAACTATCTATGATAAGGCTAGCTTTGAAAATAATCGCCCAATATATGCACGTTACAAATACATAAGTTTCAGGGCATAAACACTGCACAATTTATTTGAAAAGTTTCAAATGATTCATCAAAATTAATATACAGTAATACATAAACATGAATTTTCTAGAATAATAAAACAATTAATGTATGAGCATTAAAAATTTGTCAAAGTTATGAAACCGAAAAAACAAAATAAACAATATTATTATACAAATTGAATTATAATGTAATGACATTCTAAAGATTTTATTCACCATCCTCTGATCATATAAAGTCAATTATGTACAACTGTTGACATTAATAACAATTACTTTATAACTCATATAAGGTATTTTTTTAATTCTTTGATGGAGTAAAAATATTTACAATGCCAGTAAATAAAAATTAAACTCTTGTATATTTGTTGTCAAATGTAGAAAAAACAAAACCTGAACCTATTTGTCATTCTACTGCAAACTAAAAATCATAATGGTTTGTCCAAATACCAAATAACAACCACTCACCCCAAAAGTAACTAATCCTGGACCCCGAGCATTTGGCCGCAGCCCTTCCACACTGTCATTCTCTGTAGGGTCAGACCTGGAGAAACACATCATGCTGTCATTCTTTCCAAAGAAAATGAAATAAATTGTTACAAACATCATGAGTATACAAAAAGCACCAACCACAATAGATCCATAAGCACGATTGATCCTGCTTCCATCGTAATTGGACGCTGAATATTCTCAATTTGTTCAACGTGGTTTATTGAACGACCAATACCCCCATGCATGCAAATAATTTTTTTCTCAATTAGTGCTGCCAGAGGAAGCCAATTAAACAGACGGTTTATACGGTGCCATGCCCAAATTCCATCTCTCTCACCCTATCAGCAATTACAGAAGTTCTTGAGTGACAAATAACAAAAGAAAATATGCCCTGCATATGTAATGTCAAAGTCCTTACCATCCTCTCGATGCACTCTATTCGGAATCCAAAAAGGGCATTAATATCTGCAGCTTCATGATTTCCACGTATTAAATGTACGTTGTTTGGATACTCAACCTGCATAATCCAAACAACCATGCATAAATTTGATGCCATCAAACATGTCAAACAACACAAAAAGACAACCTATAGCATCCAGAGTACCTTCAGAGCAAGCAGAAGGCTAATAGTTTCCAGGCTGTGTTGACCCCTATCAACATAATCTCCAAGGAATAGATAGTCGATGTATCTGATAGTCATTATACAATTAACATTAGAAGGACATTAATGCTAATCACTACATTAGAATAGACCAAAAAATATAATGCTGCTCGGTCATGGGGGAAGGGGAAATAAATACAAATTATTTATTCTCTTCAGTACCTCTGCAACAGCCAGAAAACCAGTAAAAGTTTAAGAACCTTCTTATAAACTGATTTCAACTGGTCTTTTTAGAAAAAATAAGAAAAAAAAATGACTTATTCAATTTTTTTTATTAATTTAAAAAATATTTCTAAAAGAATCTATTTGATAAGAAACTTGAAATGAAAGATTTATATTATTTTTTTTTTTAGAAAACGTTTTTTCTAAACAGAAGCAGAAGGAGTCCTTGAGAATTGGGGTTTGATTCTAATTCTAAGCATTAGTAGCTTTGTTTGTTCTAAAAATGTTATAAATATTTTTGTCTCGGATTCAAGGAAAGATTCTAGCAGTGAAAAGGAATCAATAATTTTAGAAATGAATAAAGGATCATAGATGATATTTAACATATTTTGGGCTTTCATTAACTAGTTATAGAAAGAACTTTAAAAAATTAAGAATCTGCAATATGATCCTTTTATACTAACTTAAAAATGATCTAACTAAATAATTTAACAATTCTGTAATAGTATATTTCTTGATATAATATAAAAGTATGCGTTAAAATTACCAACTCAACCTACTTCAACCACAATTAAACCAGCGAGCTCTCAATCAAGCCCCTTACCAGTCCATTGTTTGGTCTGATTTAAAACAAATCATTAACATTAACCATACAGTTGGACTCCACGATGTTCAAGACATATTATGAAAGCAAACCCTCTGGCTCAAACAATTAAAAAGCAGGTTGCCATCGTTTGGACATCTTAACATGCTACTAATCATGCACAGAAACGATCTGATAAATACTGACCCATAGGCTATTACTAGAAATAAGAGACAGATGCCATAATAATAATAATTAGTGACCAATAAACTATCCTTCATTCACATTTATATACAAATAATCCACAAAAACTAAGCAACTTACGCTATGTCACCAGCCGTGGATGGTGAGCCATACTCATCAAAGAGGCGCATGAGATCTCCAAATTGCCCATGTAAATCACCAAATATTTTAATTGGAGCCCTAAGCTGTATGACGCTTGGTTCACTTGAAAATATTCGTTCTGCACTATCACAAAGATCCGCAATTTCATTGCAGTCCAAGAAAAACTGTCGCCGAACCGGAGGTTTCCAACCACGTGGCTTTAAGAGGTGAGCTACAACCTAAAAAAGAAGGTCCAGAAGCTTGATAAGAAACAGGCAGATATAACTTGAAGCCAACAAGCTGGGTATTAAACGTAATATTTTAAAAGTAACCCAATAAGAGACGTACCAGAAATCAGCTTCAACAACACACAGATTTAAAAATATTGCAAATGCAGGAAATTGGTGTGAATGTATGGTGTCTTTTATAGTGAATGCCAACAAAAGGAAGGTTAACGGAACAAGACTAAACGAATAACCTGACCTACTCTGACTACCAGATTTTATTGGTCAGGTTGTTAATTTTTAGTTGTTCATGTTATTTTAAACCGATCACATATAAAGATATAGTGCACCGATCCACTACTATTGCTGAACTAATAAACACAAATACTATTTATTCTTAAAGAATTTAATTTTAATCTTCTAGTAGTGCAAAAATTCTTCCCTGTCATCCAATCATGTATTCTCAGTTTTAACGTCATTAAAGAGTTTGACCATTATAACCACCATTAGCTCAAACGCTTCCAACATTGTTGGCAACCTATTTTATTGAATACCATTAAAAATATATGGAAGATTAAAGATTTTTTTCTAATACTATTAGTATGAATACTCTAATCAATTATAACTAATAAAGAGACACGTACCTTCTTTGGTACACTATTGATAGACATCTGCCGATCTAATAACTTCCTAGCAGCTGTTGCACTTTCAGGAGTCCCATAACTGACTCGCCTGCCTTCATTCTCAAACTGATCAATTGAAAGCTGTCTAACCATGCCACCTAATGCACCACCAGTCTCTGCAGCAACAACCACCTGCAGAAAATTCCAGGAAATGGAAATTGGGCTTCAACATCCATGAATTTGAGACAACAAAAATTTTCCCAAGAGATAAAAATTTAGTACTCACAGCTCTGTGATAGCACCATCACTCCACCAGGAGGAATGCTATTTGACGCAGAAGAATCAGGCTTAATCAAGGAATATATTTGTTTCCCACTAGGTGTTTGCCCCCTCAGCCCCACGATCCTCGTCAGGCAATTCAACTTCCCCATTTACTTGCCGTGCTTTGGCAGCAGCCAGTGTGGCACTAATAGCTTCAGCTTCTGCGGCTGATGCTTCAACTAGATATTCAACTCCTTTGCTTGTTCGCCTGTTAAAAATTCTTCACATGAATGACAGCCAAAATAACAATTCAATACGTTCAGATGATAAAATAGACATACCTAGATCCTGGGAGTAAGGCATTTTTTTAGTGCTGATATCAGTAGTATGGTCCCCATTTACAGGGGGTGCACTGGATTTCCCAAAACAACAGCACCATCCGGAGTTGCTTCAATCATGGTTTGCCTTGTCCTATCATCAACAAATCCACCATATCGTCCTGGTAGTCGTCCAGCTTGTACATTAGATGCAGCTGCAGCTGCTGCATGTGAAGCAGCAGCTGTTGTTTCAGCAGCAGCAAGATCTCAGCAACAAGTAGATCGTCCAGCAAGACCCCTACAGCATGAAGAATACAACATGGTCACTCACAACACATCAAGCAAAAATATCAGAACTCACCACAACATACAATACCAAACTGAGGTTGATAACAAGCTTTTCAGCTTGCAAGAAAAAAAAAGTCACTGGTCATGCTCAATACAGTTCAAATTGAATTATATTGTTATCCTAGATCCATAAAAAAGAAAATAAATGAATTTTACAACTGTTAATAGGAATTATCTCTCATAATGTTCACGCATGCCCTAGTGTGGGAAGAGAGAAAAGTTAAACCGAACCATATGTTTTTGACACAACACTCGTGCATTATTTATATTCAGAAAAAAGAATCAATACAATAAATAGAGGAGATTTTTATATCCTATAATAATAAAGAATAGAACGGGAAAAAAAATAAAAATGTTCCTAATCATACATATATAATTTAGATTTTCCTGATTATATAGGATAAGCACCTTATTTTTATTTCTACAATTATAGCAACTATCAATACCCCAATGTTTCTCTCAACAGTCTTCTAGATGTGCTCTTCTCAACTCAAAGTCTTCCTCAAAAACAGCTAGCTAAACATGCAGTTGAGCAATATTAAGATTAAGATTTTCGGAAGTCATGTAAGAAGACCAGAGAACAATCACTGATAGGTATTAGAAGTAACTGACTGCTCTTGTCAGTTAAAACTAACACTTGAGATTGAAACTATAAAATAATTCTAGAAAGCTTGATTAATGCCTCTCATAATCTTCTATTTATAAAAATAAATTGATACAAGAGTACTTGATAATTAGGGTAACATTAAACACAATATAATCATGATAGGGTAACCTAGACACAATATAATCATGATAAATAGGGTAAACCTAGACACAAATATAATGATAAATAGGGTAACCCCTAGACATGGTAACTCTGACTTCGAATAAGATGTACATATGCTTCAGACCATCAAGAGAGAATGTCTATAAACCAAATTGGACTCACAAACCAGCGTAACCAAAGAACCTCCTCATAAGCTCATGGAGAATAATATTGGACAACCACGAAACTTCATCTAGCACCATGAACCTTCAAGTAGGATGACTTTGACAAAGTTGATTTCCATCAAAAGTGAATGATGAGTTGGTATACAACGACACACTGCAGAGACTGGATTTCCAATCACGTAAGGAAACGGAATGGGACCTGCATGGCTAAGCGACAAAAAATGCACGAGAACTGTTATTTTCTGTACTAGTTGGGGCCTGCAGTGGCGGAAAGCGACAAAACTGCAGGGACTGCCATCTCTGACTAATTGGGGCCTGCAATGACGGAAAACAGGACTGTCATCTCTGACTAGTTGGGGCCTCTGACTAGTGTTTGACTAGTGGGTGGAAACATACTCCCCTCACTACAGGGACTAAATTGCCATTACTGATTGATGGGGCCTGCAGGGACTAAATTGTATTGATGGAGCCTGCAAGGACTAAATTGCCATCAAATAAGGATGGAGCCTGCAGTGGACAAAATCATACTGCAGGGACTAAACTGCCATCAAGTAAGGATGGGGCCTGTAGTGGCTAAAAGCGACAAACTATAGGGATTAAAGTGGCCATCAGTGAACTGCAGGGACTAAACTGCCATCAAGTAAGGATGGGGCCTGTAGTGGCTAAAAGCGACAAACTATAGGGATTAAAGTGGCCATCAGTGACTGATGAGGCCTGTAGTGGCTGAAACATACTCCCCCTTACGACAAACGACGAAAATGATGACGCGCCAATGACAAATCATGAAGGTGGAAGATCATAATGGTCTCTATAATTCATCAAAGCATCCAAAAACAAATCTGACAAGGGACTGGTGAAATTGTTTGACTAAGATTCTTAATCTTGCCATAAATAGACTCCCCCTCATGTCATGAGCAACGTTCAACCCATGACTTTAGTGTTGAAATTCCTTGGTCTTAACTAGTTGATAACACTGACTCTCCTTAGAGACTTTTAAATAAATAACATAAGTCATCAAGAACATCACAACTGCTAACAATATGCAAAGCTAAACAAATATTATGAAGGGAGGCTAATGAACAATTGCTGAAACAGAGGTAAAATGTTGAAACAGAGAGTTTTTTCTTTTTTTTTTATTTGATCGAGCGAGACGAACGGCAGTGGCACGTGTGATTCCGACACCAGGAAGGTGGCATATGGCAAACACGCGCCGGAAGCTTATCGGAGAGAAATTGTGCATGACATCGCGTGTGGATGAGAATGAGGCAACGACTAGGGATGGGTCGCGCTCCTCGAGGCGCACAAAACCCCTAACTTTACCAGAGAAAATATGACGACGGCAGAGGCGGACGGATGTGGCGCACGTGACAGTGCCTGGATGAGAACTAACCCTCTCGCTCAAGGAGGGGATCCAGATCCACTAGTCGTCAGACTAAACTGTGGCAGCAAATGGCAACATACGACAGTAGACGGTAGACGATGGTTGGCAGTGGACAGAGGCGAACAGTGGGCGGCAACGGACGTTGGGAAACAACACACAGTGGCAGACAGTGGCGAACGACATCAGGAACCGTGGTTGATGGTGACAAACTTTTGTGGACAGCTCCTCATGGTGGCAAAACAGTGTTAGATGGACAACGGCAAATGGCACCAGACAACGACAAACGGCGCCAGACAGTGGCAAACAACGTCGGACAGAGACAAACAAGCAGTTGCGGACAACAACTAAGATTTGGAGACTAGACACAAATCAAAATGAGACTGGTCATTGGGATATTTTGGAAAAAATGAAATTTTTAAGGCCGTCGGTGGTGGCAGCCACGGGCCACCGGCAACAAAGACAGAGTAGGAAGAGACTTTAACAACCTGCTCTGATACCAACTTGAAGATTGAAACTATAACATAAATTCTAGAAGGCTTGATTGATCCCTTCATAATCTTTTATTTATAAAAATAAATTGATACAAGAGTACATAATAATTAAGATAACCTTAGACACAATATAATCATGATAGGGTAACCTAGACACAATATAATTATGATAAATAGGGTAACCTAGACACAAAATAATAATGATAAATAGGGTAACCCTAGACATAATATAATCATAATAAATAGGGTAAATATTCTAACACTAACATAAGAGAGTCTAACAGAAAATCAGTGCAACAGAAAAGAGAAAGAAATATCTTCAACAGAATTATTTTGACAAAATAGTAAAAAGCTAAGAAATATTCATCTATCCGAAAAATTGAAGCTCTGATAATGGAAAATACCGTTTCATGATAAGGATCGTTCCCTACTTTTACACTATAATTTGATCATTCTCTAGTTAATATAAGGATATCCAAACATATTCTTTCACACTATGGCATCAAACATCTAAGCATAAGAACTAAATTTTTGGGTGAGTAATTCAATAGTAATGAGACACAATAGAGTCCGATCGCAAGTGGGACAAAAATAAAAAGCATGAGAATTGCTCCGATTAATATGCTACTATTTGGCCACATATATGGTTGAAGTGGGATATTTTGTAAATATCTAGTCTCATGCTTGAGAATCTAACATGGCTTGGTATGGTCAAAATATAACATATAAGTGAGTGTAAACCTTACCTTAAAAACCATTTGCGTAAAGTTGAGTTCAATCAGATCTCATTTCACAAATTATAATGAAAGAGGTTATCCCTGGCTATTTTTGTTGGACCAACCATCCAATAAACTAATTGGGCCATAATTAGACCACTCCATATTTATGCTCACATCGAAGATGTCCAATCCCTCAACTTGAAATAGTATATTGAAGATATTGCGTTAACTAGTAATATGACTAAAATGTAGTATATAAATGGAGCGTAAATCTCATCTTATAAATTAATTTTGAGGTTAAATGAAGCCTGAATCCATATTCTAAGATATGCTAAGATGATCATGTGATTTGAGCTATTTCATAAGTTTCTACCTTCCACCTTATCTCCTAACACCATTTAAGAATTCATATTCTAGTAAGCAATACTAACATTTAATACCATTTGCTTCAAAGTCCAAACAAAAATATAAAAAAATAATAATAATAATAAATTCAACTGAATATTAAAGCAAAAATAAAATGGTGTGAATTAGATACATTAAGTAACTAAATTAACATCTTAAAGCAGTCATGGACCCCCCCCCCCCCCCCCCCACCCCCCCCCCACCCCCCCCCCCCCCCCCACCACCCCCCACCCCCCCCCAACCCCCCCACCCCCCACCCCCCCCCCCCCCACCCCCCCCCCCACCCCCCCCCCCCCCCCCCACCCCCCCCCACCCCCCCCCCCCCCCACCTCCCCCCCCCCCCCCACCACCCCCCCCCCCCCCGCCCCCCACCCCCCACTTTCAACAACATTTATATTGATAAGGTGTTTTTAACACTAGTAAAAAAAATATATTGAACCTAAACTGTGTTTTGCTAATAAATCGGAATTTAATACAATAAATATAGGAGATTTGATATTGATAAAGGTGTTGAACAATAGGAAAAAAAGAGATTGAGCTGAAACTGTGTTTTTCTAATAAAAAGGAACTGATACAATAAATAAAGTATATTTGATATCCTCAAATAATAAAGATATGATCCTTGTTTCTTTAAGTATAACACTCCTCAAGTTGGAGCATGAGTCATATGTGTCCAGCTTGCAGCAAATATAATCATTTTTTTATCCTCTTAGAGACTTCGTGAATGCCAACCAACAATTTACTAGAATTGACAAATCTAGTGGTGATATCTGGAGACTCCAGTTTCTTCTTTTATGAGTGACAATCCCCTTTATATGCTTGGCCCTCCTACTAAAGACAGCATACGAGACAATGTGTAATATTGTCTAGTTGTTACTATAAGGTGCATTAAGAACTTTTATATTTATTCCAGTCAAGTCTAAGCCTTTGAGGTTTGTTTTAGCCATATGAGCTCACAAATGACTCATGTTATTTCTTTGTATTCTTGTTCTGTACTTGATCTTGCCACAAAAATTGTTTCTTATTGTTCTACAATATTAAATCACCTCAACAAGAATACAATACCCTAAAGAGGAGGGTCAATCACTTGGGTCCCTGCCTAGTCGACATCAAAATATCCAACGATTTGATTATTTCCCTTATCTTTGTAAATGAAGGCTTTTAACAAGAGCATTCTTATCATACTTTAGTATTTGTAATGGTTGTGAACTTGACCAGAAAAGTTTAAAAAACTGACTTACTATGGTCACTACAGAGATCATCTCAGGTTTAGTCCACAGTTAGGATTTAGTTTACCAATTACATAATGTATACACACTTTTACTTTACCTACCCCCCACACGACAACCCACCTTCACCACTTATTTTACCACACACACCCTTTTAACTTTATACCACCCCACCATACCACACTACGCACCAAACTTACTACGCTACCAACACCCCCTTACGACCTCTTTTAATTACCCAACTACCCCACCACCACATTTTCTAACCACCCACTACCCCACTTACTCCCCCCCTCGCTAACCGTTCAAACATACTTACCTTTTACCCTCACCCTCATTACCACCACCAGTCACCCAAAATTTTAATTTTTTTTTTACAACCACAACTTTTTACATTTATACCCTACTCCAAACACCTATACAACCATACACATTATTTTATCACTCCTCGTCTACTACTTACATTTTACCTACCCCACCCTACAACACCACCCTACTGTACCACAACCCTATTACCCACTAATTTACACCACCTACCTCGCCACAATCAACTTTTACCCCTCCACACCCACCCTTAATTACACCTACCACACCTTCCCCCCCCTCCTGTCCCACCCTCCATTCCCCCCACCACCTCCCCCCCTTACCTTTACCCTAACCTACAACTACCCCTCATCTACACCATAACTACCCCCCTTCCCCTTTCACCACTCACCACCCAATACCCTCAACTTTTACTACTTTAGCCACCCCCATTACACCCCCTTACTACCCCCCGCCTTTACACGCCCCACACCTCCCCATTTTCAACACTATATTATACTACAACTAACCTTACACGACCACCATTTTTACACCCACCACTTTTACCCACTACACCTTACCCATTGTACACCTTACCACCTTTACCCACTTACAAACCCCTACCTTTACCCACACCCACGCCCTACTATATACACTACATTACCCACTTTACCCACCACCATTTTACGAATCATATATTTACTATTATACCATACTTTTACACACATCCACTTTACCACCCCCCTACCAACCACACACTTTGTAATACCCCCCACTACTTACCCTTAACCCCCGACCTACCCGCCCACCCTCCCTTCTTAATTACCCCCTCTCAACTACAATACTTACGTTTACCCCGCCCTCTACCACCCAACTACCCTACACTACCCCCTCTATTACTACACGCCCCCCTAATAACTACTCCTACCACCCCTCTACTCGCCCCAGAATCAAAATACAGCACTATATCGGTCAAGTACAAGTTTGACACTCAGTCATTCATGTGTTCCACAACTATACATCTCTATTTCTCCTAGAATGTCAAGAGCATATTTTCTCTAACATATGACTATCCTTGGATTGTGCAACTTCTATACCAAGAAAATGCCTTATGTGTCCAAGATCTTTTGTCTAGAACTTTTGAACAATATACTGTTTTAGTTGTACGATACCCTCCTTATCAATATACTTTTGAACAATAGTAGTTGGTGCGATAGATCCAACAACAAACTTTGCTAGAATAGGCCTAAAACCATGTTAAACTATAGGAAAGAGAGAGACATTGAGTTGTATGTGTTTTTAAAACAACACTTGCTTTATTTATAATCAATACAATAATTAGAGGAGATTTTATATCCCCTAATAATAAAGATATGATACGGTAATACATAAAAACTTTCCTAATAATACACATATATAATCTAGATATTCTTTATTACATAAAATTTACTCCTTATTTTTATAATTATAACAAAAACAGTCATGCCATGTTCAAGCAAATTAGGAATTAATTCAATTTAGATGACCCGATTTAACTTAAATTTAAGACTTACCCCCACGCAAACCACCATAGATAAAAATCAGGTCACCGATAGCTGTGGCATCAAAAATGCCTACCTAAAAACGCCGTTGTCAACTCACTGATGC